TGCCTTTTTATGGCCAGTTTTAATCCAGTCATATGAAAATGGGGATCAAATGAAATCTCTATCATTTGATACAGGCTGAGCCCTGTCACTGGCTGGTTTGGACTGAGATGACCTGAGTGTTGGTGTCAGGGAGATGGACTGAGATGACTTGAGTGTTGGTGTTGGAAGGGCACAGAGAAACCTCCTTTGCACGTGCAGAGGTTTCAAAGGGCAGATGCCTCACACTGGCTACCTTCACGAACTCATCTCAGTTCCATCTCTGGACTACGTGTGGCCTTCTACATCTGCAAACTTGATGTTGCCAGCAAGGCCTGAGAGCCTCTGTCTCTTAGGAGCCAACTTTCATCGCCCTAGCTGATACAGAGTTGCATAAACTGGAATGCCAGTTTATCATGTACATTTTCTACCTGTAAGTAGACTGACATGCAAAACCAAATGACAACCAGAAAGATTTGGCATGGGCCCTGAACTAGGGAAGGCAGGAGGACAATCTAAGAGGTCTTCTCTGCCCTGGGTTACTTAAGGCCATGTGCACACCGCCTAGGGTGCCCTTCATCGAGCTGGTTTCTCGTCACGCTTCAGAACTCAACATCCCTTCCTCAGGGAAGCCTTCTCAGCTCCCGGTACAGGTCTCCCTGCTCCCCACTCTGCGTATTCATTCTCATGACATTCTGAATTGTTGTTTAAGACTGTTGTTTACGATTAAAAAATTGTGTAGAGTCTGTTGACTATCTTTCAGTTCTTTGAGAGCATGGAGTATGTTAGTCTTGTTCATCCCTCCAAGCCCAATCTCTAGCAGAGTGCTTGTAGATAGTGGACACTCAAACACTTGTGGGAGCGAGGGATGGTGGGAAGGAGAAGTGAACGAGATGGCCGCATGTCCACCACAGGAGCAGCCTTACCAGGGGGACTTCAAGAGCCTTTGCCAAGAGTTGTGGTATGTACGACATTTATACCTCCCAGGCCTTTGCCCTGTACAAAAACTCTCAAAAGCGAAGACAAGAGTAAATAAACAACAACAAAAAGACCCTTTGCCAAGCTTCCCTCTTCCTTTCACAGAGTCAAAAACGGGCGCTGCGAAAATCTGCCTGCCTTTTTGTGCTTCCACTGCTGGCCAGCCAGTCCCCTCTAACTTCCGCTTTGTGTATGTGCAATGCCTTCGCTAAGGCTACAGTCTAATCGCACTGGCCTGAGCACCCTGGTCTCTCCTGAAGCAGCTGTGTGTGCCCGTCTCATCTATGTTGTGCTCATCCAGCCCTTCAATCGCAGAGGGACGATATACTTACAAGTTCCCGTACTGACACGCTGTCAAGCACCTGCAACCACCCCCCCACCCCCTGGAGTTAAGGATGGGGATGTTGTGGGAAGCACCCCAGTCATCGGAGAAATAAGAAGAATGTGTGCATGTGGCTAACGCCTGTTCATATTTATAAAAACAGAAGCTAGGGATGACATTCTTACATGCATTGGTTATTGTCTCCAAACGTGATATTAATTTTGATAATTAAAAACAGAACGAGCGCTGGCCTGGGAGTCTGGGTGAGATCTAGACGCTTTGATGCTGGCATGCCGCTCACGTGGCTGTCAGCAACTCCTGTGTCAGCACTGGCTTCTGTTAAACGAGGGGTGGGACGAGATGACCGCTCCAGCCCCGTGCGATTTGGCGTCACACGGCCCGGCGATTATTTTTCATCTAAGAACCCCTCCCCGACTTCATAAGCACTGCAAAGAGCAGGCCGGCTGCTGGCAGGGACCAGCACAGGCTCAGGAGCCTGGGCTCAGCAACTCTCACGAGATCCTAGTGACACTTCAGGACTTCCATGTTGACAAAGGACATCATTTAGGGGCTAAGCAGACATCGCTGGGCCTGACGCAGCTCCTCTGAAAATGGATCTCCTCGACTCTTGGACTCTTGTCAACCGCTGGGTGCAGGACTGAGAGGCCTGGAAGATCTGCTTATGCTCCAAGAGACCCTCTGCCTCAGTTTCCCCAGAAGCAGGACATTGGCAGAAATTATGTCCTTTATGTAAAACAGTCAATCCTCATGATCAAATGTGCAGCGTTTTCATAAGCTTATACCTTTTGCAAAAGAAGTGTCCTTATTTAGTCTTGATTTTTGGGGGCTTTAACTTGCTTCATCTCAGCTCCCCAGTGCACAGATCTGTGACCATATCCTGCCACTCGTGCTAAATTAGTCTCCCAAATATGTGTTCAGCTTTAGTACAAACGAACTCATTATGACTCTGTTTATAACCCAAAGTAATCTCGATCCTAATTAACTGGTATGTGGAATTCAAAATCATGCTTACTTTGAAACAGCCTACGAACCTCCTTAGGGAAGGGGCATCTTGGATGAGGCCCTCCCTGTCTGAAGGGAAACTGCCTGAAAGCACAAAGACAGCCCACTATGGGGCTCGCACTTTAGAGACATGTATCTGTTCCATTGCAGGAACTGTGGATAGACTGATCACAAAAGTGTGCGCACTTTGAATGATTTCTCCTACTAGCTTGAAGAGGATGTTCCCAACCGCCCCCCCCCCCCCGGGAGCTGGTACCTGAAGATGGGCTTAGGAACGTGCACTACCTGGAGTAGTAAGACTCCACCCCCAGGGCCTCCCGGACGCTGGCGATGTGCTGCTCCAGGGCTGAGCTCGTGGTTGTTGGCAAGGCTGCACTGCTGCCGACCTGGAAGTCACCCGAGTTTTCCACCGTGTTCTCACCCAGATAGTGCTCATGAAACTTGAGGATTCCTGAAACAAGACAGGCACAGCCGATAGGACACACGGTTGGGGGGTGGGTACCAGTGGAGGGCAGGCGTGCCACCCCAAACCACATGCAGAATCCCGCAAACACCTTTTGGAAGCTTGGCCCGAATCCCTTTCACAGTTTTTACCATCAGGTTTGCTGTCTCAAACCGGAGGGCTCGGGATACAGCTATTGCTTTGGGGGCTATATCTAGAAGCTTCTGGAATTGTAGCTACTCTGTATATATTTCAAAACAGATGGTTCTCGGAGGTGCCAGCTAGGGAAAGCCTCCTTTCATGAACAGTGCAGGAGTATGCCAAGGTAGACTCTTGCAGATACGGAAATCATGAACACAAACATAATTAGCCAGCTGGAAATTGTGTCACTCAAAGACCTTTCATTTCAAAGAAAGGAAATCAAAACGAATATATGGTTTAAAGGCCAGATAAAGAACATTTCAAACCACTTTTAAATAAGACTAGTCAAAGATCATTACTGGATTAAAGGAGAAAAAATAGGATGGCTGGATGCAACGGAGGTGATCCACGGCGGTCTGCTGGCAATAAACACGGGACCTATTCTCAAATGGAAATGAGGTATGTCAGCCCTGGAAAATGCCAGTCCTCTGATTGGATTCGAGCCCCAGCCAAAGCTCTCCAGCCTCATTAAGAGCAAAGAACGGAAAGAGAAACAATGGGAGCCTCATTATACATAGATCATCATTACAGGGACTCGGATATACCACCTGTCATGTCCCCAAGACGTAACAACCACAGAGAGAAAGAGCTTGGTACCCCCAGTTATCAATCTTGTCCTCACGGATGTCTGTACCATCTCTGGGAGCTGTGAGACACAGGGATTCCACTGCGATGACCAAGTCCCCATGAAAAATCACCACTTGAAACCTTTAGCATAAAAGGGGGGCACCGAGACTATTCTTAGTGAGAGAGCCCCTGAAGAACGTGAAATGGAGGGGGAAAATGACTGTGGTGAATAAGTCAGAGACACAGAACGTAGGGTCGTGAGTGCTCAGAACCGAAGCAGCATCCAAGAGCTGACATTCATGTCAGTTCTCTGGCAGCTGAACTTTGTGAAATCCGCTTACAGATAGTCAAGATGCCTGGTCTTCCAATTCCCAATTATCAGCTCCACTTCCCCAGTCAATAAACTCTAATAGGAGCTGGTGTCTCTCCACCGTGGTGAAGCGATCAGCATTTCATTATACAAAAAAATATACGGCCCTCACAGCTAATTAGTGGGTCTGAATTTAGTGAAACTGTTACAGCCTGAACATTTAATGCTGATGTAATCAAAAAGGATTTTTACTTCTGAACTAGATTTATAACAGAACTGGTTAAAAGGGGGTTCTGTTAAAGGCAGAAATTTCTAGCATTAAGGTTTCACATAAATACTGTGATAGAATGGCCATTATCAACGTTGTCTCTTCCACTTTGCTGTGACAGAGGGTCACAATTATGAACTCATACCCAGAAAGAATTCGTTAGGACTTGCTGTCGGCACTTTATCAGCTAATGAACAACAGCTGCTTACAAACAGGGCCGCTCGAGAGATTAATCCTCCAGCTCTTAGTCGTCTTTGATAAAGGCTTCCACACTCACAGTGAGGTGCAGAGATTTCTGGGGGGACTGAGAAAGCGGGGCTGTCTTATTAATTGAATGCCCCGCTATGGAATTCCCACTGTGGCTGAGGTGCTACAGGAACCAGCGTCAGCTCTTTAGTCTGATCTACGATCCTGCGCCTCTCCCACCTCTATTCATTAGCCGTTCACAGGTCTGCTGTCTTAATTGCCCTGTTCCCACCGAGAGAGAGAGCTCACCTGCCCCGGGTGCCAGCAGCCAGCTGTACAGGTAGCCTGCGGCCAGGGAGTAATACAGCACTAGGCCCCTCTGGCCGTTAACCATTTCTAAGATCTGATCGATGGTGACCGGGGAGTAGGGGTCGGAGTCCTGTTGTCCTGTTTGTCGCTCCACCAGAAGGTCCGCAAATGCCCTTGTCCGTCCTCTCTCCGCCACGGCCAGGGCTTCATCATGATGGCCTAAGAGACACAGGGATAGACTGAGGGCCGCGGTGACCGTGCCCACTTGGGACAGCAGGGTCAGAGATCCCGAGAAACCTCACTGGGTCCTGGCCCCACTGTTCCCCATCCAGCTCCCCATCTCAGATGAGGGTGGTGTCCACTCTTATAAACCCCACATTTTCAGATTTAACAAGACTGAGTCTACACCCCACGAGCTATCAGGCCTTGGTTTTACCGTGGCCAGCACCACAAGAGAGCCCATGTGCCAGACAGCCCTCCTCCTGAGCCGGCCTGTCTGTTCCACGTCCCGGGCTGCTTCCTAACCTGACCTCTGACCCTCCACCTGACGCTGCAGTCTCTCAAGTTACTTCACTCCCTGCTCTCCTTCGCTTCTGATTCAGCGTGGACACACGAGAGCCACGTGGCCTGTCTCCTGGCCTTTCCGGTCCCTCTAGTGCAGCTCCTCTGTGTGTCGCACTGTCAGCCCACCCCACTCTGCACTCCCCCCAGGCACACCGTTTCCCCTGCCACTGACTGGCAAGTTTTTGCCTCAGCCTTTCAGTTCAGCTTTGCATCCCACTTCCTCCAAGAAACATGTTGGGAATCTGGTTTAAAAGCTGGTGCACAAACATGAAAGCACACACACAAAAATAAAAGCACAAGGTTTCAAGAGAGGATTGAGTATAAATGCCGAAGGAATGCAATGCAAAGGATTAATTCGTTTGCTGTGATGTGAATAGAAACATGGGAGAGATGCTAGACTAGGGTCAGAGCTGGTGGGTGGGGCTGCAGAGGCAAAGGCCAGGTGCTGCAGCTCTGCCAGCTTGTCAAGGCACCTGGCTTCCCTGCGGCTCGGAACCAGGAGACAGTGAGGATTTATCTGTGTGTATGCAGATACCTTCTTTTACTCTATTAAGTTATTAACTGTAACAGCAGGGACCATTTCTATGCACATTGGAAAATTGGCCCCAAAGTGCTAGACAGACTTAACACTGTGATTATAATAGATAATAAATTGTAATAAGCAATGAACATATTTAATAGGTACATTTTTCAAGGGGAGGCCTGAGTATTCCTATGTGTACGGAAAAGGACAGGTTACTGAACAGGCCTCGGCGTGCACCTTCAGAGACACTGTCAGTTCCAACGAGCACCTCCTCAAGCCAGGCTCTGGGTCGGGAACAATGGTCCCCAGTGGTAGGTCCATGAAGAGGCGGGTGTCGGGGCTAGAAGGGGGCGGCTGTGAGACTGGAGGCCTAGGGGAGGGAAGATGGATGCTGTGTTGGTGTGAGGGAGCACACAGAGAGCCCGCAGGCCCGGGACGGTTATCACAGACGATGGATGCCACCACCCAGAGGGCAGACCCTCTAGTAAACCCTAGCACGGGCAGATGTGTGGCTGAGGGACCAAAGAGGAGGCCAGGCATCTCCTTAGGTATTAGCCCTTCATCAGAGAGAGCTGATGGTCTCTGCTTCCCTCTCCCTGCCAGGTTCCCTCCCACCACTAACACCTGGCTTAAGCACCCTCGTCTCTGGGTCACCTTCTCTGTCTCCTGGGTCTGCCTGGCCAGCTGCTTTGCTCCACAGCATCTGAGTGTACTCTACCCTCATACCAGGAACACTGTGCTGCACTTAATTGATCTCACTGACTGAACCATGTGTCTCAAAAGGCTGAGTCTCCCGAGGTCAGGAAGCAGGTCTTCCTGAATTTGCATCCCCAGGGTCAGCATTCGGCACACAGTAGGTGCTCTAGAGATGTCTGGTGAACACGTGAGTGAGTGTTCAATGACTGGACTGTGGTTGTGGCTTCTCAGTCTGTTGTAATGACCCAACTCATCACAGCAACCACTGAATGACTCAAGACACCCGTGCGCACATGTACACACAAGCTGGGGACCCAGCGGCTCTCACCGAGGCTGACCAGCACCCGCTGCAAGGCCTGGTAGGAGGAGGTCTGCAGGTCGAAGAGGGAAAGTTTGTAGTCCGTGCTCAGCTGTGCCTCGTGCCGGATTGTTTCAAACAAGGCTGATGCCCTGTAGAGCTGCAAGCAGGGGACAACACAGTCACCCGTTACTCACCAACCAACGTCCAGCCGCTTACAGACTAGAGACAACTTTTGCTCACAACCTAAAGACTCTTTAGCACAACCTAAAGACTCTTCACAAAGGTTTGAAAGGGTTAATCTTTCTTTCCAGGTAGGTCCACGTGGATCCGACAAGATGCAACCCTACAAATTACAGTTTATGTAATCTTTTTAACAGATATGGGGATCTAAAAGACAGAAGTTATAGGTGTATGGTTTTTGGGGAAAAAAATCAGCTATTGATCCCACTGAGTGCTAATTTTGACTGGACCGAAAAAGCCATCAAATGACCATTAGTCACCAGCCCAAGCCTCACTCCACTGAGGATTAGAGTGGGAAATGGTGTGGTGGAGGCTTCTGGAATGGGTGAGGCCACGGGGAAAGGAGACAGGCAGCTTGGTGCTGTGGAGCCGACTCAAACATGCACGTCCCCCGCTGTGCACTGCAGTCAGTCCCTCAGTGGAAATGTTCCACAGGAGCCCTGGCCACACGAGAAACTGTTGGCCACAGACAGCTTGGGCCTGGACGCCAGCCATTCAGATGGACACACTACCTGGCAGTGATAACTGGCTTCTCCATCAGTGAGCATGCCAGACCCTGCTGACTGAGAGTTCCAAGTCTAACATTATGGAGATTAAAAACAATGGAATGCTGAGACTAAGAGACTTAGACTCAAAAATAAACAAACAAACAAACAAACTCAAACTCACTGCTGTCAAGTCTTTTCTGACTCATAGAGACCCCTCCTTGGGTTTCTGAGGCAGTATCTCTATGAAAGTAGATTGCCCAGCCTTCCTTCCAAGGAGTGGCTGCCTGGTGGGTTTGGACTGCCAGCCTGCTGGTTAGCAGTCATATGCTTTAGGCACTCAAGAGCTCCCAAGAGACTTAGACTAGAAGCAGAGAATCTCCTCCGAGCCCTGCCATGAATTTGCTGTGTGGCTTTTGGCAAGATTCGGAGCCTCAGTGTCTGTGTGTCTAAGAAGGAGATGGTCAGCATTCTCCTTCACAGGGTTCTTCTGTTGAGGAATACATTCAGTGCATGAAAGCACTTTGAAACTGTTAATCACCATCCTAATACAACCAGGAAATTAGAGGATTCATTTCTCAAATTGCCTTTAATGGCTTACAAAGTACAGTAAGCTACTGTACCTTTCCAGCATGCCATGGCACAAATTCAGTCATCACGTGTCCTGACTTCTGAGCCAGGAGACGGCCATTGATGGACGTCTCCCTGGCCACCCCACCTTCCCTACCACAATGTTCTCTGCAGTAATTTTTCTCACCCTGACTAAATGGATGAGAGGGTAATTTCAGATGTAGCCATCCCAGAGCTCCCCCACCCTCCCAGAGCGAGCCGGAATGCTAGGTATCTTTTCTAATCTCCACAGCCAGCATGGTAATGGACTTCCGCTATCGAAGCATAGGCAGGAAAGTGAGCGTAGTAGGAGAAGGAACCAGAGAAGGAGGGAGGGAGGCGGAGAGTGAGGAAGAGAAGGACAGACGTGGGAGGTGTACCTATCAATTTAAGTAGAAATCTACAAGGACATTAAATGCAATAATTATGAACTCTTGGCATCTGACTGCTAACCAGAAGGCTGGTGGTTCAAACCAACCAGCCACTCCACGGAAGGAAGACTGGGCAATCTACTTCCATAGAGATACTACCTCAGAAACCCAAGGAGGGGTCACTATGAGTCAGATCCAACTCGATGGCAGTGAGTTTGGTTTTTGAGTTTTGGATTATTTACTCCCATTATGTAACGTATGCTATTTCATATTAAGGTTTAATAAGCAACAGCGGCACATAACACAAGAATTCCAAAGAAATTACTAAGAAATCTATCACACAAGAGATCAACAATCTTTCCCTTAATGGTTCAACACCTCTGGGCTGGCCCTGGCTGGAAAGCCTGTCCAGCGGCCCAAGGGTGGAGGGTGACACCCTCTGGCAAACGTCATCCCCACTAAGAGAGTAACCCCAAGTGCTCCCTTACTTCTGGAAAACAACATGCATTGGGTTAGGGCTTCCCGTGCTCACCTGGTGCTGGGCCTCCTCCAGATTCCCACTAGCCCAGAGGGACAGGCCGAGCCCGTGGCGGATTTTGGCCTCATCTTCTCTTCGGCCCAGTTGTTCAGCCAGCCTTAGACCTGAAACCAGACAGAGAAATTTGAAGGGAAGGCAGGAGACAGAGAATTCCACTGAGCCGAGGAGGCCTGGAGGGCCATAAAGAATGTCTGTGACATGGCCAGACAAAACGCAGTATGAGAGCTGAGTCAGCCCAGGCAAAGGAAGCTTTCTGTTCCATTTCTCTGTGGGGCCCAACCTTTCCAGGCCACTCCAAGTTGCCCCAGGGAGCGCTTGGCGGTGGCCACCAGCAGGAGACAGCATTGCAGGGCAGGCAGAAACAAAGGGAACCTCCTCTGGCCACTCTCCCCTCCTGGAAACCCTTAGCTTTGCAAATGAAAACTCCTGGCTTATCAATTCATCAAACCCGATTCTCTGGCTGGCAAAATCTTTTCCTGACAGTTTCACAGTCAAGCGCAGACCCCAAGATGACAGTAAAACCCATGAAAGCCAGAACTTGTGTAAGGTGGAAACCTGTCAGAGAGAGAAAACCCAAGTGTTTTCCACTAAAATGAACGAGAGTGAGAAGCAGCAAGAGGACTGTTACATCGGGGGATTGCAATTAGTGTCATGAGACCAACCGTGTCCAAATTGTCAAAGGGAAACCAACTTGCTCTGTCAACTTTCATTCAAATGAGAGGTTCTAAAACATCAAATGGGAGCTCTGCTGGCATAATGCCTGAGGCACTTGACTGCTAGCCAGAATGCTGGTGGTTCAAACCCACCGGCTACTCCTCGGAAGGAAGATGGCGCAATCTACTTCTGTAGTGATACTGCCTCGGAAACCCGAGGAGGGGTCGCTATGAGTTGGGTCCGACTCCATGGCACACAACACCAACAAAATATCCAATGAGTGACAGAAGAGACTGTTGTGTCCTGTCTGAGGAGGAAAACTGGCGAGACCTGGAAAAACAAGGCCCTCCCACGTGCCAGCTCTCACGGGTTCCGTTGTACTTTCCCCCCTCACATGTGCACGGCATCCAATCGGTGGTGGGAGGCGTGCCCGACGGCTTCCGGAAAGCAGATCCCATGCTGCCTGGCCCTGCCTTCAGAGGGAGGCTACTGGCGCGGCTCAGGCCTTTAAGTGCTTTTCCTTTAAGTTGGAAATTTCAGTGTGCCTCTGTGAGGCTGCAAAGCAAGTGCTGTTATGAGTGGAAAGGCTTACGTGAGACTGGCCTCATTCTAATGGCCTTCAGACAGGCACCTGCCACTGGGGTCACTTTCCCACAGCTGGCTTCTGGATTTCAGGACACTAGCCCCCTCTGGGGTTTTGTGGGAGCCAATCTGAGGGCAGCCATTTAACTGCACCGGCACTACGCAGCTCTCAGCATCCCTTCCCTTCATTATCTTCCTCGCTGCACGTAAGAGTGAGCTTGTGCAGAAGGGGAGCAGGTGTGCTCCCGGGCCACAACTGAACACACACAAAGGCCTTCTGATCTCGCTCACGGTGGACGGGACCTTGCCCCTGAGCACGTCGGGCCTGCGTAATTTCAGACTCTGGAAAAGGGACTGAGTCCATCGAGAAGTTAACAAAAGCGGTACTCGGGCTGTAGCTCATAACATTAGGCTTTTTAAAAACGTACATAACTGGGAAAACTTAGAGATGGCATTTTAATTTTAAATCATGTCACTGGGTAACAAAAATAATACTTGCAAATTATTCACATCCTCAAATAGCTCCCAGAAAAGGAGCCCACGTGGAAGAACATGGCTCTTGGGGAAAACCCAGGCGGGGACTGGTTGTCTGAACCTTCAGTAAGCTAGCCACAGTGATTCTCCGGAACAGATACCCTGCTGGTTTGGGGTACGTTTGTCAGAGGAAAACTGGGTGAGGTGAGTCCCCTGGGATGTCCACTCTGTGTGAGCAGATACTTGGCTTTGCTCCCTGCCATCTTTTCACACTCAGGACACTCCCCGGCCCACAGTCAGGGGTTCAACAACCAACAGTTAAAAGCCCACCAGACAGACATGGTATCTGCCCTGTCCCAGCTTCTATGCACTTCCGCCTCTCAGGGATCTACTGCACCCTGCTGCTCTCCTGGAACCTGTTTTGCCAGGAACTGGCTGTATGTGGTGGTTGTCAGTTGCCATGGAGTCAATCCTGACTCACAGTACCCCATGTGTACAGAGTGGAGCTGCTTCATAGGGTTGTCAAGGTGTGACCCTTCAGCTCACCAGCCCTTTCTTCCGAGGCACTCTAGGAAGGTTCGAACTGCCAACCTTTCGGCTAGTCGTCCAGTGCTCAACCATTTGTGTCACCCAGGGACTCCTCTCTTCATTTGCAAAAAGAGAGAAAGCTGAATAAGACCAATGGTTTTAACCAGGGGTGTCCATCTGAATCACCTATTGCACCTGTTCCAAAGACTCAGCCCAGGCCCCACCCATAAGACTCGGTGAGACTCCGTGGCACAGGGCGGGGCCTGTGCTGGTAACGCAGGCCCATCCGAAAGCTGGGAGAGACAGCACTGGGTGGCTTCTGACAGGTTACAAGTGGTCGCAGATCCAACTCAGGGCACTGGGAAGAGGCTGGCCAGATGTCCTGCGCCTACCCCAGCTCCAGGACCCTGAGAAAAGCAAGCTGGCTTGCATGGCCCAGGAGGGAGGCAGCCGCCACATACTTCCTAGTGGAGTCAATCCACATGTCAGGCCCGTGGCAATACTACAGTAAGTCAGATTTTAGATGGCTGCAAGACTCCAAAGAATGAGAAGCAATTAAAATGGACTCCACAGAGTTTTCCACTAATGTAGAATGATGTTCCAATGTCTCAAGCAAAAGCAACTGCTTCCTGGAAAGAGGATTTCAGGGACTACAGAGGAATGCAGCTGAGAGGCTGTCCTATGCTGGGCTTGAGTTTAATGGTTTTCACCATGTCAACGGCAAATCACCCTGACCCTCTTGAAATTTACCACAGTCAAGTTGCAGGAAACTGGAAGCCAGCATTCATATGTGATGCATTGAGGTAGAGCCTGGTCAAACAGCAGGAGCCAGATGAGGTCTGGAAGTGGCTTCCGGCCTCAGTAACATCTCAGCCTGCAGGCCAGCCATCCTTGGCTTGTGCTAAGGAAACAATGACCCACCAGTTCCTCACCCACTCTCTGCTTTGCTTCCTGCTTTTCTGCCCACTGCTTCTCATCAGGGGCTCAGGGGTAGTAAGGGATACAACTGCCCCGCCCCGTTCTGTTCTGTTGAGGTCAGGGCCCTGCGTGGCTCCTGGGGTCAGAAAGCCCAGGCTGAGCCCCACTCCACCACCGACTGACTGCATGGCTATGGACAATCTCTGTATTTCAGTTGGTTGAGCTGTAAAATGGGGACAAAAAAAATTACCTCTCAAGGTTACTGTGAGAAGTATGTTGGACTGAATCAACTCTATCTGAAAAGCTCTTTAGGAAGCATGAGAGTTTTTGCCTGGTACAGCCCCATTTCCTCTCACGGGTGAGCTGAGAGGCAGCCTCCGTGCGTCTTCCCTTCCGGTGTGTGAGGAGCCAATGGGCCCACCTGAGTGGAAGCGCTTTCAGGGGCAGAAGGCCACACACACACATAAAGTGGGGGCTGAACGCATTGCTGTGGGGACTTCCAGGAGAGGAAGTTTCAAAGGACTTGCTTGCACCCAGCAGCAGCTCCTGGGTCCTCCAGGGACAAGATGCCCCATGGCACCAATGGAAGCACTGTGGGCCATCGAGCGGGAGGAGGAAGCCGGCTGTACTGCTTGAGTGACCCTCAGACTAAGGCCTCCGGAGGACACCTCTGCTGCCCTTCAGAACTGCCTTTTACAGAGCAGTGACCGTTCAGGGATCGTCGAGCGGGATACCTGGCCCTAGAGCAGATGGGCATTTTCTGACTGGGACCCTGAAATCTTTCAAGATTAGCTCTTCCTTGCTTCATTTGTTGGAGAATGTATTGTTCACCCAGCAGGGGGCTGGGAAAAGGAGGTACGTATCAGTTTCTTGTGCAGCTGGCTACCAGAAGACACCATCACGGAGACAGTAGGCCAGCCTGGGTCCAGCGAGAGCTGGGTAAGGCATTCTAGACTATGAAACACCTTAGCACGAGCAGGGGACCCCTGTAGGGGCACCATGGCTTTGGAGTTGAACTTCTGATGTGGTCTCAGAGGTACGCCTCAGTTCAACTCACACTTGCATGCTCCCCTCGGAGTGGACCTGAACCCAACCTTGAGAAGCCTAACGGCCCACCACCACCACAGGCATTGTGACCTACCTTCCTGTAAGTACATGACGGCCTGGGAATAGTTCTGCAAGGCATGATGGGTCCTCCCAAGGCTGCTGTACGAGACCGTCTTAGCCACTAAGTCATTCATCTGGGCAGCGACGCTCAGGTGCTGCTCCTGATAGACCACGGCCCTCTCAAAGGTGCCCAGCGATTCGTACGTCAGGCCCAGGTTCCCGTAGGCTCGGCCCTGGCACGTGGGGTTGTTAGTTTCCTCGGCAATCTGCAGGTCGAGTTGGTGGTACTGGAGGGCTGTGTCATACTCTCCCATCTGCTGGTAAACGCCCCCCAAGCCACAGGCTGCATCACTCTCCAGGGCTCGGTCTTTCATCTCTCTGGCAATGTTCAGCTGGCGTTCCAGGCAGGAGATGGCTTGTTCGTAATTCCCTAATTGGCTGTGCAGACTGCCCAGCTCTCCATAGGCCTGGGCTTTATTGAAGGCCTCCCCGAGCTCATGGGCGACCACGAGCCTCTTCTCGAAGCACACAAGGGCTTGCTGCAAGCTCCCCATTGCCCTGTGGGGAGGTAGACAGAGAAGCAATGATATTATTTCGTGCAGGTGCAGACATGCTAAAGCCCCTGAGAAAATGAAAAGCATTTGTCACTGTCACTTACTATAGAAGCTCTTAACTCCTCTTCTAGCTAAAATCTATCATGTGCCCTTAGAGTGAGATGCAGGGGGATTTCATAATCTGGAAAGCAATTCAAAAGGCATCCCTTAGTGACCTTCCCAGAAGCTTGGGAGTCAGTGGGATCTACACCCCCGAGGAAACATAAAATATATTAACAGGCACAATGATAGCAAGTGAGCTGTTTGGTTCTTTGGGCCTCCCAATTTCCACTACCGCTTAGATGATTTTTTTTTGAAATCGTTTTACAATGACTGTAAATCTTTCAGCCTGTGCTTCTCCGAGCACTCTGTGGGTGATGATTTAGTTTGGCCCCTGCCCTGCCTCCACTCCTGGAGCCCTCATCCCCTTCCTGTCTGGCGAGGCCGTATATCCTGCAGACACAGACACCTTCTTGGGTTCCCTGCACTCAGGAGAAAAGCATCCCCCCTTGGCTAATAGTGTGTCTTTCCCTGCTGCTAAGAGAGAAAACGGTAAGACTGGGAAGAGCGTGTGTTCTGGTGGCAGACCAAACGAGGGTGTGGGGCACATGAAGGCCTTTCCCTGAGCCTCAGTTCCTGGGTGATACATCCCACGCCCATAGCAGAGACAGTGGGTGCATGATAACACAAAAACTCAATTCTGACTCATAGTGACCCCTCCTTGGGTTTCTGTGACAGTATTTCTACAGAAGTCGATTGCCCAGTCTTCCTTCTGAGGAGTGGCTGGTGGGTTTGAACCACCAGCCTTCTGGTTAGCAGTCAAATGTCTTAGGCACTACGCCACCAGAGCTCCCCACACAGGAGCACTATAAATACTACATGCAATGGCTATGCAAGGTGCCCAGCACATGCTTATTCACACCCCTCATTATCCGATGGTTTTTCCTAGAAACACACAATATGGTCCAAGTGACTGGTGGGTACAAACGTTGCATTAATAAACAAGTTCATGTAATATGGAAAACATGCAGGAAAGATCAGTTTAATCAATCCAGGCACCTTTCCTAGTCTTTCTATCTCTTTTATCCTGCCCATTATGATGCAGTCAGAAGGCATTGCATTTGGAGTCAGAGGGCCCTGGGTTTGACTCCTAGTTGTCCCAGTTAAGCTGTGCCATCTTGGGGCATTAAACCAACCTCCTTGGGCCTCAGTTTTATCTTCCATAACATAAGGGTAATAATAACCCAACTAAACTCACTGCCATTGAGTTGATTCTGACTCATAGCAACTCCCACAGGGTTTCCAAGACTGTAAATCTTTACAGAAGCACACTGCCTCATCTTTCTTCTATAGAGTGGCTGGTGGTTTAGAACCACCAACCTTTTGGTTAGCAGCCAAATGTCTTAACCACTACACCACCAGAGTTCCTTAAGCATAACAATACCACACACTTAATTCACAGAATTGTTGGAAGGCTCAAATGAGATGATGTGCATGAAAATGTTTTGCAGTCAATGAACCCCCAGGCAGACACGAAGTTGCTCTTACTGTCACCACTGCTCTTTTTGCAATTTTATCAACCATATTGCCCACTGTCATTTTTACCTGTGTCCATTTCCTAGGCCCCGGTAAGCCTTGGCTTGGTCTTGCATGCGATTCAGACTCTGAGCAACTGATAAATACTGCTCATAGTATTTGATAGCTTCCTCATAGTCCCCCAGGGCCTCATAGCAATCCCCCAGGTTGCCGTAGGCCCGGCCCCTGTCCAGCACAGACTCATTGCCACTGAGCTGCTGCAGCATGGCCAACTGCTGTTCGAAGTAGCCAATGGCTTCTTCCATCACATTCATGTTCATCTTGGTGATGCCCATGTTGCCATAGACCTGGGCTTCTAGACTTGGATCCTTCAGCTTCTGCCCGAGGTCCAGCTGCTCTTCATAACACTTGAAGGCCATTGTGTACTTCCCCAGGGCCATGTAGACAGCAGCCAGGTGCCCATGAGCTCTGCACTCCCCTGGCAAGTCACTCAGCTCCTGATAGACCTCCAGTTCCTGTGTGTGATAGCCCAAGGCCTTGTCATACTTCTGGACCATTCGGTAAGCAGTGCCCAGGGCCGCATATGCACTGGCCTCCAGCCTCCTGTCTTTCACGTGGTGAGCCAGGCCCAGCTGCTGCTCATAGAATTTTATTGCACCATTGATATCTTTTTTACAGATGAATATATCGCCCAGGTTCCCCAGGGCTCGAAATTTCGCCTGGGAATTATTCAGGGATTGGGCCAGGGACAGTAGGTATTTCTGACACTCCTCAGCTTTGCTGAAATTCAGTAGAGCCTTGAACGCTAGGCCCAAGTTGCAGTAGGCTTTTGCTTGGCTCAATTTGTCGTGAAGGTCTTTGGCCAGGGCCAGATCCTGCTCGTAGTACTTCACGGCCTCCTGGTAGTTCCCAAGGCAATAGTGGGCGTAGCCAAGATTGTGGCAGACCTTGCCCTCTCCTTCCATGTCCTGAAGGTCAGGAGCGAGCCGGAGGTACTGTTCATAATAGGGCGCGGCCTGGATGTACTCTCCCCTAGAGCAGTGGAAGTTGCCCAGGTTGCTGAGGGCCCGCGCTTCGCTCTGGATGTCTCGCAGCTCACGGGCAATGTTCAGGTGGTTCTGGTAGTGCTGCAGGGCCCGATCGTGGGCGCCCAGGGCCTGGTAGGCCACGGCAAGGTTGCCATGGGTGGAGGCCTGGGAGGCGCGGTCGTTCACTTCCATGGAGATCTGCAGCTCCTGCCGGTGGTACTTGACCGCCTGGTCGTACATGCCCAGGGCATTGTAGGCATTGCCCATGTTCCCGTAGGCCCGGCCCTGGGCGGCATAGTCACTCAGCTCCTGGGCGACGCTCAGGTGGGTCTTGTGGAGTTTCAGGGCGGTGTCGTAATCCCCCTTCATCTGGTGTATTATTCCTGAAGAAGAAAATAAAAGAGCAGGGAGAGGTTGGAATAACTCATTAGGACATTTTCATTTGCAACTCAATTTATACTAAAAGACGACTCAGATGAATTAAAGAATTTAAAATAACAGAAGGTAGAATTAAATATTTATCAGCTCTTCAAAGAGAAGACAGCTTCCTCTGCCTTGAAGCAACAGAAAAAAAAAAACCCTGGCAGATTTGATTACTGAAATAAAAATCTTTGTGTTACAAATACATATCTCAAATTAAAAGGCAGACACGACGCTGGGAAATATATGAAACATGGATGAAAAAGTTCAGTAGCTGTTGTATGTAAAGATTTCACTCAGCTTGCTTCAAAACAATCAAGAGCCCAGTGGACTAACACAGGCCAAGAAGGGGAGGTAGAAGCAGGCAACTTCCATCCAAAGAAACACAAAGAGGAACCACAGGGGAAAATGCTCATCTCTTCTAATAATCAAAGGCATGGAAAATAAAGCAACCCTGAAGTACCACTGAACTTCTACTAATTCAGCAAACAAACGCAAATGGCCCCCTGTATGAGGAGACTGAACTGAAATTGGTAAACACACGGACCCTTGGGGACAATAACTGGGACAACCTGTCCAGAAGCAGCAGGATAAGAACAACAAACATGGTCAAGACTGACCTGTAGTCCTCCATGTGGGAACACACCCTGAGCAGCTGTCAGCAGACACGCAAGCTACATGCGTGACAATCTTATGGCAGGGCACAGATTACCGGAAAATCTTCAATGCCAAACACCAGGGGACTGTACAAGTAAATTCTGGTACATCTACTCAACCGAGGATTATGCAGTCATTAAAAATATAATTATGAAGTCTATGGTGAAACACGGAGACAATATTAACTGGAAATAGCAGAAGACGACACTGCAGAAGATGACAACATCAACATCAACCTGTGTACACAGACAAGACTTGAGGGAAGCAGGTGGAAATAGAAAATAGTTGTCTTGGTAGGTGATGAGATCTGGATGATCTTTGCTTTAAATTTTCTTTTCATTTTGTGATACGATCAACAGTAAGAGCACTTTCAACAATCCTAATAAACCATGCTAGAGCTGCTAAGTTGAGCTACTGCTGTTAGAAGCAGTTCAAGATTCAAGTGAGGGATAGCATAAAAGTAACCTGGAAGGTAGCATTAAGACAAGCCTGGCTGACCCTAGGTTGGGGCTGGAACTGGGAAGACAGAGGGAATCTAGTTTGCAAATACAGATCGCCTTGCCCTTGGCTTTGAACACATATTCACATGCATGCATCAGCCTGTGAGCTTTGTGATGGTGACCAAAATCTACAAAAATACACATAATGAAAATATCAACATGGGTTGTTAAAATGTCTGAACTGAAAATGCAGGTATCTCAAAAGAAAACTAAACTAAAGAGCCCTAGAGTTGTAATGGTTAAGTGCTGAGCTGCTAACCGAAAGGTTGGTAGAGGGAATCCCCCAGGAGCTCTACAGGGGAAAGATTACAGCCTAGGAAACTCTATCGGGCAGTATGACCCCATAGGGTTACTATGAGTCAGAATCAACTCAGTAGCAAACAACAACAGTCTCAATCCCTGGGAATATTACTTCTCTTACTGTATCAACATTCAAAAGTATTTCTAGTAATTTTTAAACCAAGTGTATGTGTTCCTCATAGAAAAATATATGAAATATGGATCAGCAAAAAGAAACTGTAATTCTACCACCCAAAGACAACTACTGTTAACAGTTAAATTTTTATGCAGTATACATATGTATAAATGTAAATGTGTCTATACACACATCCTACTGTTCTTATTAAAATGTCTTCTTAAAACCTCATTAAAAACAACAACAATCTCTCAAAATCTAGCCTCATTCATTCCCTTTCTCACTCATCAAACATTAACTGTGCATTTTTCATGTAGGTATTGTAGGGTGAAGCACGGGGCTTAATCAAAAGATTGGCAGTGCCTAGAGGCACGTTGGAGGAGAGGCCTGGCAATCTGCTTCTGAAAGGTCACAACTTGAAAACCCTGTGGGGATCAGTTCTACTCTGCACACATGGGGTCACTGTGAGTCTAAATCAATGGCAACTGATAACAGGAAGTCCTGTGGTGGGCAGCACAAGGGTTAGAGAGAGAAACTTAACAGTAGTCTCCTCAAAGAGCCCACTAGGTCATACAGGAGGCAGTCATGAAACAAACAATATGACCACATGGAATAAACACTGATGTGGGCAGCAGGGTGGGGGTGCTGAGGTGGCTTTGCTGGTTCTGACGTCTTCCACATCTAGCTCCAAAGGTCTGCCAAGTCACAGGGCTTGTGCCTGGTCACTGGACTCAGCCTTCCATTTCACGTTAACTGGATTTAGGATGGAGCCTTGATGGAGCTTTGATTAAGTGCTCAGCTGCTAACCAAAAGGTCAGCAGTTCAAACCCACCAGCTTCTCTGTGGGAGAAAGATGTCGTAGTATGGTTCCATAGAGATTTACAGCCTTAGAAACTCTTTGGAGAAGTTCTGCTCTGTCCTGTAGGGTTGCTATGTGTCAGATTCTACTCAGTGGCAATGGGTTTGGTTTTTTGGGGTTTAGCCTTCAGGTATGGGATAAATCATTTACCCTCTTTTAGCTCATCTATAGGAGCTCTTGTAGCGTAGTGCCTAAGGCATTGACTGCTAACCAGAAGGCTGGCGGTTCAAACCCACCAGCCACTCCTCAGAAGGAAGGTTGGGCAATCTCCTTCCGCAGTGATACCGCCTCGGAAACCCAAGGAGGGGTTGCTATGAGTTGGGTCCGACTCGATGGCACATAACAACAACAACAACAGCTCATCTATAAGATGAGGAAAATAATAATCACAGTATCAACCTTAGAGGGTGGTAATGAGCATCAAATTAAATAATGTATGTGCAAGTACATTATAAACCCAACCAAAAACCCAAACCCACTGCCATCGAGTCGATTCCAACTCATAGCAACCCCCATTGGGTTTCTGAGACGGTAAATCTTTACAGAGTAGATTGCCCCATCTTCTGTCCATGGAGCAGCTGGCGGGTTTGAATCACCAACCTTCTAGTTAGCTGTCAAATGCCTTAGGCACTACACCACCAGAACTCCTTACATTATAAATGGTAACATGGAATTCAAGTACAGGTATACTTTGTTTTATTGTGCTTCACTTTACTGTGCTTCACAGATACTGTGTTTTTTTTTTTTGTTTGTTTTGTTTTTTTTACAAATTAAAGGTTTGTGGCAACCCTGGGTTGAGCAAGTCTATCAACACCATTTCCCAACAGCATGTGCTCATTTCCTGTTTTTGTGTCACATTTTGGTAATTCTCACAGTATTTCAAACTTATTCATAATGCTATTGCACAGTTAACAGACTAGTGTAAACATAGCTTTTATATGCATTGGGAAACAAAAAATTTGTCTCACTTGTATTATTGCAATATTCTATTTATTGCAGTGGTTTGGAACTGAACCTGCAATGTTGCCGAGGTACATCTGTATTAGTTACTGAAATTATCCCATCCATGTCCCCAGCAAAAGGAATTCCTGAGGTGGGAGAAGTTAAACTAATTTTTCTATGTATATTTCTTGCATGAGTAAAATATTTCACAATTTAAAAATAAATACATCATGGTATGTTTCATATAATGTAGTAACATGGTGTCATTAAAAATGGTGAGTACAAGTTTATTTATTAACACTTGGTAGAAGTTTACAATATATTGTTAAGGGGATATATGGTTAAAAACGAATACATTTGAATAAAAATAGGATGTGTGTATGCACACATGATTACATTTATACATACTCATACTGCATAAAAGTTTATTTAACTATTAACAGTAGTTGTCTTTGGGTGGTAGAATTACAGCTTCTTTTTGCTGATCTGTATTTTATATTTTTTTCTATGATGAACACATACTCTTGGTTTAAAAATTAATAAAAGTATTTTTGAACTTTGATACAATTAGAGAAATAACATTCTTGGGAGTCTGGTCACTCCCCCAAGGTTAGATATGTCACTGGTAATCCAAGAGTCAGCTCAAAGAATTGGAGTTTTTCAGAACTCAGGGTTAGAAACTCTTGTCAGTTTGTCATGCTGTGGTGGCTTGCATGTTGCTATGGTGTTGGAAATTATGTCACCAATATATCAAATACCAGCAGGGTTACCCACAGTGTACAGACTTCAGCAGAGCTTCCATACTGACACAGACTAGGAAGGGAGGTCTGGTGGTCTACTTCCAACAATTGGCCAAGGGAAACCATATAGATCATTACAGAGCACCATTTGACTTGTTTGCTATGGATGTATCATCAGAAGGGATCAACTGCTAGAGAAGGACATCATGTTTGCTAAAACAGAGGGCCAATGAGGGCTTGGAGACCCTCAGTGTGATAGATCGTCCCAATAGCTGTAGTGATGGACTCCAACATGCTGGTGATTGTGAGGGTGATGCAGGCTCGAGCACTGTTGCATCTGTTGTACATAAGGTCGCCATGAGTTGGAGACGACCCTACGGCAGCTAACCATCTCTACCACCGCAAACCTCCTTTAGTTTCTGCATTGGTGTATTCTAGATCTTACAAAGAAGTGAGATCATCCAAGATTTGTCCTGTGACTGACTTATGTCACACAGCATAATATTTTCAAAGTTCATCCATGTTGTATCATGTATCAGAACTTCATCTTTCTTTATGGCCAAACTTATCCCACTGTTATGTTTCTACCATGTTTTGTTCATCCATTCATCCACTGACGGGCAGTTGAGTTGTTTGGCTATTGTGAGTAATGAACATCAGCAATGTTACCCTGCAATGAACATCGTTGTACACATAGCTGTTTGAGTTCCTGCTTTCAACTCTTTTGTGTGTATATCTAGGTGTGATACTGCTAGGTCATACAGTAACTCTATGCTTAACTTTTTGAGGAAGGACAAAACTGTTTCTCATAGCAGATGTACCATTTATATTCCCACTGGCAATGCATGAA